TAATGTAGTTGATTTTACCTTTGAATTTAATCACTATTTCTCGTTTGTTCAGAGATGGACGCGTCATGCAAATACTGCTCATTGCCTTAAGACCAATTTTGCTCATACTTCCCTATTCCGAGATTATTATTTTAATAGAATTACGGTATTATGGAATGGTATTCCAGAAGATGTCAAAGCAGCTAATACACCTCATTCTTTCAAACGCCAACTCAAATCTTTTTACTTTAATAGATTATATAATGTTTTCGATGGCGATAACATACGTTCCTTTAAGATTATTTGTCCTAAGTTTCGCCGTGTAAATATTGGAAAAGCTTGCTCTTGCTAGTATTAATGTAGTGCGCTACTAATTATCTTTCTCTCTTCTTTCTTTATATTTATTAGAACGATACTTATAGTAAATTATTAATATTTAATTGTAGTATTGGGTAAGGGGTGGGTTTTTCTACGTTTTGTGGGGTTGGTTTAGACGGGTGAACCCAGTAGGGGACTACGTGTCCCATTGTTCTCCCGCCTGTAGACTGTACGAATCTTAAAATAAATAAAGAAACAAACAAACAAACAATTTAGAGAGGACGGGATTAACGCTTTCCACCCTAGTTGTCAGAGATACGTCATTTGATTGTATCAGTTTTATCTAGTTCACATTTTTCTCGATGTTTCAGTGAGTGGCTCGTATTCACCGCCTCCCAAAATTCAAAGGCCGAAAACTGTAAGTACTTAGAGAACGATATTGTTTGCCCAAGGCATTGCGTCCTTTCGAATCGAGATGAATTATCATCCTAGCTTCCCGTTGAAGGACATATTGCACATAACTGCCTTGAGTTTAAAGGACTCCGCAAATATTTGTTACAAAAAAAATAAGAGATAACATCAACAACAACAACAAGAGACGGGCAATAGAAGCAGTTTTCAACTTACTGTAGAAAAACCGAAATCAATCTAATCACCACAGCCAATCACAAGAAAGGCTTACATCATTATTAGCCAATGAAAACTAATATTTAAACCAGGCAAGCAACCAAAAGCATGGGAAAACGCAGCTGACCACGATTGTTTTCGTTTTGCCTGTGATTGGTTGAGCGGATGGTGCGAGTTTTCTGGACGAATCAAAGAAAAGGGTAAAGCAAAAACAGAGGCTCCCAGATTACTTTCGACACTCAGTTTTACAATTCAAATTCTCGATTCAGAATTTTCTAAATACTCGTCCTTCTTCCTGCAGCACACTGGTCGTTTAAGAGGGAAAATTTCTCACAGTCTCTTGGGTGACCTTCAACCAGCTGATGTTCCAAATACAAGACTTCCTTCAACACTTTTAACTTTTTTGCTGAGCAAAAGAGACTCACTAATTGGGCTACGTTTAGCGCAATACGACCGAAACGACTTGAAAGGGCCCCGGAGAGATGAACTAGCAGCCGTAGCACATACTCGGGTTTCTTATAAAGCAGCTTGTTCACACGCTAGAGAAATGCCTTTCTTCTCTGATGATTTGGCAGCTTACTATTTCAGAGGAAGTCTATTACCTCGAATCTACAAGTTTACTCCCAGAGACACGACTTGGGTCCTAGGACTCGAAAATACGAGACCTCATTGTATTATTTACTCGAGTGATTAGTTTAATATTATCTTGAATATAAGATAATATATGAATAATCATCACAAAGATATTGTGTGGAAGAAACTTAAAAGCTCCAATAGAATTGGTCAACATAGTGGAAAGTATTTTTTTATCTCTAGAATAAATGAATTATTTATACCGTGATTATGGATACATTCTTATGCTAATGAAAACATTTGCTGAGATTTTAACTTTTAAAAAAATCGATTGTAGAGAATTGTCAAGTGGAGGAGTTAGTTGCAGCAAAATTTCCTTATATTATGTTTATTTTGTCTTTAGTGGTAAAAATGACATCAAAACATCTTAAAAGGTTTTTATGAACCACTATTTTGAATGCAGGCGGTAAAATGATTTTTGAAGAACTATATATAATCGAAACTGTAGTTGAGAATNTTGTTCTGCCCATCAAATCTTTTGTTTTGCCACATTTTGTTACCATCACTGTTGTGGTTTACTTAAGGTCCTTAATACTGGGTTAGTGCAGTTCATGGAAAGCCCCTGGAATTCATGGAATTCTCACAGACTTTGCAAGCAAAAGAACTCATGGAAGCTAAGTGCCAGTCATGAAAAGTAATGGTTAGGAATTTTAGGATTCCACAAGAGATTATGAATCTTGTGTTAGTGAAATTTATAGTTTTATTTCCTTACAATCTCTTAAATACAAGTAATATCATCTTCAACGGCACAAGAACTGCCTCTGATATAATTATAAGAGGCTTATAAATTTATCAATCAATATAAGTTGAACTAATTGGTACTTTTATTATTCTTACATGTTCAAGTACACCTGTTGCTCTTAGTTTGACTTGTACATTTCTTATTAAGGAGATTTTTTTCAAAAATTAATGTCTCCTGGAATTTACAGACAAGAACACTTTACAGAACACAGTATAATACTACAGGAAAAGTTCATTACCTGTTGAAGGAATTCCATGTGAAAACCGTTATTGCACAAATTACAAAGCAATGAGGGTAACATCAGTTTTCAATTATAATTTAGTGTGGAATTCAAGAGTCAGGTAATGGATCTTCCTTGAATCGCATAATTGAATACAAAATAAGAAAAAAAGAAAACAGCGATAATATTGTTTGTTTGAGCACAAAAATAAGAGTTGCAAAACATTTTTAACTCGCAATTCCATGCTGTAATACCTCTTTGTTAACCAATCAGAATGCAAGATTTATTCAATTACGTGACTATTTAGAACGTGTAAGTGTGTACAAAGAAGAAATCTATCAAGAGAACTGTGTCTATAGATGGTGAAAATACTATTTGCCCATGGCAAATATTAAGTTATTGTCAACACTAGCGTTGAAAGTTTTAGCGATCTGAGACTGTTTGAATTTATAATTTAGTCCTTGTCTCAGCAATATAATTTGAAAGGTCTCTGATTTGTATAATATTTCTCAGCTGCAACATGCGATATCCATTTGTTCCAGATCTTTGGCTGTTACCTTGTCATGAAAGCAAAACTTGTTTGCCTTGCTCTATAGCAACAAGACACAGACCATAGTCACTATAATGTCATACATGTCTGCTTTCACTGTCAAAAGAGAGGCAAGGGCCTGAATAATTGACAGACCATAGAGTTTCAGGTCTTGAGAACTGATCTATTAGTAAGTAAAATTAGGAGTTTACTTGAATCAGCAGTTGATCTTTAACATGCCACTTGGCAAGAAGCAGACTCGCCATTCTCTGTATTTGACTCTAAATTCAATGAAACAGGACTACAGAGAACTCTTCCATCTTTTCCCACTGCTTGAATCAATTGAACCTAAAAATAAATTTCAAGTGATAATGTACTAATTAAGTAATAAATTGGAAAAACCAGAGTGTAACTAAACATAGTGGTTAAAACTCTCAACTGGCTGGGGGTAGCCCAGTTGGTTATAATTATACAAAACACAGCCAAGTAGTTGAACTCTTGACGACCAGGACTTGAACTGGGAACCACCAGATTACACAAACTGTCCAGCACCCTAACCTCTCCAAGGCTCGAAATTAACACTCGCAAACTCACAAAATGAGAGTAATTTTGATAATCTGTGAGTGAGAAAATAATTATCCACTAGCAAACGTTTGAGAGCTAGAATCATCCACGTCTCCCAAAGATTTGGAGAAAGCTATTCAAATGCAAGAATAAATATTATACAGATGACATCTGAGGAAAATAAAGCAGTGGATGCTGAGTATTTTGATAGTCACTGGTCAGCAGTATTACACTGATTGAGGCTCTGTGCCAAACCTCTGCATTCGTGTGTTGTTGATGTTCCTTGTGGTTTTGGAGCTATCATTTTCATTACCCATGTCAAATGTATTCTTTGAGTAAGAGCGCCAGTGCCAGTGGTAATTAATTTGCTAGTTGTCTCACCAGTTTGCTGATAGAAAAAAATCTTACTAGCAAAACTTTACAAGTGGACTAAAAAGTTAACTTCCAGCCCAGCTCTCCACACACCACACTGCCTCCCTAAGTATTAAGTAGATGTACTATAAAGTTCATTAATGCTAGCATTTACACTTTCAATTTTCACAGGTTTGCTCTCTACAGAGGTGTGAAGATTGTCTCAATTAACATCCAAGTCATCTAAAAAGATTCAATCATGTGCTAAATGTGTTTAAAAAAGACTCACAAACTTGTCCTTCTTTTTCCAGTTTGGTTAGATGATGGTTGACATTGTTTTCAGCTGCTTTGTGAAGGTACCAAGGAGTTTCCTGTGTGAAAAGTGTGATCAGTTTGTAAATTAATTGGATTTGTATAAAGTAAGAACTAATTAATTGAACACCTTTGAAAAACCTGACTATGATCAAGGAGGTAGTGTGGTCAAGTGGTCAGCGTGTTGGACTCACAATCCACTGCTCCTGGGTTCGATTCCTGCCCCGACCACTACCTGGATTTGTTTCAAGGTAGCTCCGAGTTCAAATCCTTGGCAATGCTTGTACATAGCCAGCTGGTCTGCCTCTGGCCAGTTCAGATTCTTAATCATGTTATATGTTCAATTTGAATTATTTGCTTTAGTTGTTTTTGAGGGCCACTATAGTTCATCAGTTGAATTACTGTCATGTGTTACCCCCTCTTAAATAAAGTTGTTATTTATTGATTTAATATTTATTTATCTTCATTATTTTAACCCTCAACCCCACCTTGGATGTTACAACAATTTCAGTTTGTTTTCTAGCAGCCAAACTGGCTGATGGAAATTGAAAACCACTAGCCAAAACTGAACTTCTACTTCTATCTTTCTCTCTACTGTACCACTCATGAATATCAAATAATGTCAAATAGATTTTGTTGCAAACTCAGCTACAATACAAAGTATGTAATTATGAAAGAAATTAGTTCAATCTCAATTTTGACAAAACTTACAACATACACTTTCTTTACAATGTCCATCGCAGTTACTGAATTTTCCGGTTTTTCTCCTATGGCTTGAAGTATCTAGAATCAAAACACTGCATAGTTGATTTAATAGAGCTACAATCCTATTTAAAACAGATTTTCTTCAGCCTTTAAAACAAAGTATCTTATACTCAACTGAGGTACTTCTGCTGTAAATGAACAGCAAATTGATATAAACTAGCACATATTGTTTTGGAGTTTTGTTTAAGGACAACTGCATGTCACAGGGCTTCTTTAAAACTTGAAGCTCTCAAAAGCGAACTTCCACAGAAGCTTGCTAACCCTTCAATTCCCAAGATGTACTTGTAAATTCTCCCCTCTGGCCGCTAGACATTGCCTTGTAACTTAGGTACAAGAATTTGGTGTTGGATCAAGATAACTTTTGCATGTACCTGATGAGTTTGAATATTCTCATTGCCTGTTTGCTTAATAAGGTATGGAGTCATAAGGAGAAGTTGCATGTAAAAAACACCCCTTGAGGTTAAAGACTTTATTACCTTCCACACATATAAATCTATATTAATTTGAATTAATAAAAGTGAATTTGAATTAAATTTAAACTTTCAAAGGTTTCAATTAATGCCCACCTGAATTGACAAAATTAATGGTGAACACCACAGCATGCGGGAGGTTGCTAAGCATCAGTCATGTGAAGCGATAGATGCGAGCGACTCTAGCTTCTTGAGTGCTTAGCACACCTCCCGAGAGCATCCGTAACTCAATAGTGTACACTGTGGCGTTTACCATTAATTTTGTTTTATAACATATTAACATTGTTGCATTGTAGCAAAAGAGTTTTCTTTTACTTAAAAATCTTATGTGACCAGGAAAAAACAAACGCGCGCAGAAAAATACCCTTTGCATTTGCTCATGTCAAAAGCTAGAAGGGTACACCCATTGGCAAATGGTAGACACCGAAGTGACCAATCAGAGTGCATGCCTTACTTGGGTTATGTTATAAAATTAAACAAATGGACAGTACATGTATAAAGGTAAAGGTGAAGTCTGTCAACGAGCCAAATGGCCAAACAGGCTGGGGCTTAAATCCTGTTCCTGTAGCATGAAGTGACTAGGATTGTTTCTATTCCCTCCTGGATGGGATGCTAGTCCCTAGCAGGGTTACCCCCAGCTTTAAATTTGCCGGTATCCATTTGAACACATGGGTGGAGAGAGGTAAAGTGTCTGGCCTAAGAACACAACACAATGTCCCTGGCTAGGGCTCGAGCCCAGACAACTTGATCCAGAGTCGAGTGCACTACCCATAGGCCACAACACCATCCCCCCCCAGACACTGTGTACCTAAATTGAAATGAAATCAAATTCAGTTGAAACTTTCAAAGGCTCCAATGCCCTGCACCATAATTGAATAAATGGATAGCACATACCTGTTTTTCTCTTGTATTTCTGTGTTGAATATATTCCTTGATTTTATTCACACCTTCCTCTATAACTGGACCATGCCCAGGGTAGATGAGACATGGAGACAAGTTCAAGATCACTTCTAAAGATTTCATGTAAGTGTAAAGATCCTCAAATACCTGAAATAATTCAAAAAAGATCAGCAAGTTGACCAAAATGATGGCTGAAAATAAAGAGCAGTAACTTCAAAACTTCAATCATAAACACCAGCACCAAACTGAACATTCTTTTGTTGAAGTCTCATTAACCCAGAGAGTTGTTTCACCCCATAAACTTTCAACATTTCCTTCCAAGATCAGGACTCAAAAGTAACGGTAACCTGTTAACCAATGGTTAGAATTTTCAACTTTTGGTTACTAAAAATGTGTCCAACTAACCCGACATGGTTAATAAACTTTTTTAACATAATTAAACATTGGTAGACCTCAGGACAAAGAGCACGTAGACCGTACTCTTAGAGGAATACTTAGAATACTCAAGTTGTTTAATCAATTTAAACTCTTTTTGCAGAATGTGCTGTAGATGTACTGTTTTTGACTAATCATGGTATTAATGAGAGGGAAATAAAATAGGTGCATAATTGTCAATGTTTTTAAGGTCACCATGCAATTTCAGTCACTCTTTATTTTTCCAAGTTGTTATTATCAAAATGTTCAATATTTGAGATATTGTAACTTGTGAACTTGGATACCAAACTTTATAATTTGGTTAGTAAAAAAGACGTCTACTAACCCGAAGGGTAAGTGATCCAAAAATTAATTTCGAGCCCTGAAGATTTCATTGGAAATTCTCCTTACTGTCTGTCATACAATTCTTATAATGTTAGTTCAGAGAATTTGGTGCTGTCTCAACTAACAACTCACCAAATGATATCTTTATTTATTTCCATCTCTCTTCAATTGATAAATATTGTATTGCAGTAAATGGTTTGAACCCGGGGGTAACATGTGAAAGTGTAGTCTGATCGTCCGGGTGAGTGTAGTCCTGAGAAGGACTGTTGTCGGTGGCAGTGACTGACGTTTCGACAACCTTTGCGGAAGTCATCATCAGAGTCAAGTGAAT